CCCTCGGCCGAATTATTATTTCCTTTTTGTATGAGTTCTGGTATAATCCCGCACATTATGCTGCATGTTGTTTGCCATGAAAAAAACAATGCATGTTCAGCTACGTTCTACGCAGTACTCACTAACCTAACCACCATCCAACCATCCACCACTAACCGCCATCCCGTTCTGTGCTCCCTTCCACCCCACACGAATCAGCCGAGATACTAGTCAGTCGGCCTAGCGCTATCCTATCCTCCCTTCATGACTGCACAGCGCTAAAGCCCAGAGCCGAGACTTCCCGAGCGCGACCTCTGACCCCACGCGGTCCGAAGGGTCGGCCGATGCCTAAGGGCGCGCCGCGCGCCGGCCACCCGGATAGCCTCTGCCGAGTCTCCCTTTCATACACCGTTTACTACGCGCTCGATTCATTCATGATTCTGCGTTTCCTCGTTCCTCTCGTTAGATGGCTCTACTGATGCCATAGGCGATCCCAGGAAGATTGCGGCCAGAATACCCCAAACGGCAGAAAATGAGGTTTTTGGTGAATATCTCGGAAAGTATTTGGCATACAACGATGCAATTTCACAGTCTCGTGGTAAATGTGCATACACATAATTCGGGTTGATACTTATGCATTTGAACATTATATAGGACCAGATATGTCCGAAAAAGCAAAACCAACAAGACTTTTACTGGAGAACCGTACTTGACACGGGCTCTGGAATAGCCACACATGTGTGGAATGAACCTAAGAAGTGCAATAAATAAATAAATAAATAAATAGTAAACCATTGCCCTATGGCCGCTAAAGTAAATAAGTGGAATGCGCCAGAAATTGTCAAAATCGCGCCAAAATAGCAAACTAAGATGAGAAAAAAATAACCGCACCCTTCTACGCAGAATATTCTATTTTGCGTTCGAAGAAGCACACAGTCGGACGACGAGACCGGCCATTTTGTGCGCCACTTACACAATGTGCGTCAGTTTCGAAAAAGGCCCAAGTTAACGTTTCCATAGAGACCGCGTACAAATGTCAGCAACCTGGGCCCTGTTTCACGGCGGAGCGCTGCAGTGCGCTGCGCGCGTCGGCGCGTTGGGTTTCCATGGCAATATCAACAAACTTCCCTCTGACGCTACGCTATGACGTCATCGCAAAACGCTAGCACCTAAGCGCCAGCACCATCAGCACGCTAGCAGCATTCGCACTCAAACCTCTGTTCTCTCTGTACCTACTTGGTTCTTAAGGACCTCTGTTCCAAACACGATTCATCATAAGCTAACGGACCGCACGCAACGTCATTTCAGCGACGTCAGGGGTACGCCTCAGCTCCCAGCGCGCTGCAGCGCGCGCAGCGTCGGGCGGTGAAACGGGGCCCCGTAAACAGCTGCTGCGCCGCTTTTGAAATACGCGCCATCATTGCCTCTCTGCCCACCGTAGTACGCTCAAAAGATTCTGCGCGGACGGCAAAGATTCTACGTGGTGCGACATCGAACGGCATTTTGGGCCCGGACGGTATAGAATCTTCGCCGTCCGGGAGACATCGAACGCGGGGTAAATGCATGTTCATCTATTTGGCAACATATTCGGATTCAAATTCATGTTCGAAATTAATGGTCTGCGGACTTCCATGGCCAGCGTCTTTAGGGTCAGCTGCTCAGCGAGAAGCAGCTGTTGTTATCGCCGTCCTCAGCGACGGCGATAACAACAGCGCACGAGGCAGCTGCTGATCAAGCCGGCGAGATCTCTCGGAGTCAGCCGGATGCGTCTCAGGGTGCGGTGGTGCACCACGTCACCAGCCGGGATCGTCCGGCGGTGCCCATCCGGGGGCCCGTGCCGGCTCGGGCAGAGCGCCATGCCCACTGCACTCGCTACATGGGACGAGGGACTGGGAACGCCGCGGCACGGTGCCCGTTTCGTATGCGTGTGTTTTTAGTGCGGTAAGCTCGGCCATATCTGAGCCACGTGGCAGGCCAATCGGCGTGATATTGGCCAAGTGCAGTGCCATGCGGCTGAGACGGCCGCTGGTGCTTAGTCGGCGGCTGCGCCATCCAGGGGCGGATCCAAGGGGGGGGTCACATGGGTCATGGCCCCCCCCTTGAGGCCCGGTGGCCCAAAGACCTTCCAGGGGCACCACCGGCCTATCAGGGGTATCACAGTCCTGACAGGGGCACCACAGGACCGCCAGGGGCACCACAGGCCTAGCAGGGACACCACGGGCCTGGTGCCCCTGGGCCCTGACAGGACTGTAACGCCCCTGACAAGCCTGAAGTGTCCCCGGCAGGCACGTGGTGCCCCTGACAGGCCTGAGGCGCCCCTGCAAGGCCGGTGGTGCCCCTGGCAGGCCTGTGGTGTCTATGGCAGGCCTGTGGTGCCCTTGCTAGGCCTCTGGTGCCCCTGACAGGCTTGTAATGCCTCTGGAAGGACTGTGGTGCCCCTGGGCCCTGACAAGCCTGAGGTGCCCCTGACAGGACAGAGGTGCCCTTGATAGGCCTGTGGTGCCCCTGGCAGGCCTCTGGTACCCCTGACAGGCTTGCGGTGCCCTTGGAAGGACTGTGGTGTCCCTGGGCCCTGACAAGCCTGAGGTGCCCCTGACAGGCCTGTGGTGCCCTTGTTAGGCCTGTGGTGCCCCTGGCAGGCCTCTGGTGCCCTTGCTAGGCCGCTGGTGCCCCTGGCAGGCCTCTGGTGCCCTTGCTAGGCCGCTGGTGCCCCTGGTAGGCCTCTGGTGCCCCTGCGCCCGGAGAGGACTGGCGCCCCTGAAAAGTCTGAAGTGCCCCTCGGCAGGCCCGTCGTGCCCCTGACAGGCCCAAGGTGCCCCTGCGAGGCCGGTGGTGCCCCTGGCAGGCCTCTGGTGCCCCTGGCAGGTCTGTGGTGTCCCTGGCAGGTCTGTGGCGCCCCTGGCAGACCTGTGTTGACTGGTGCCCCTGCTAGGTCGCTGGTGCCCCTCACAGACCTGTGGTGCCGCTGGGCCTTGACAAGCCTGAGATGCCTGGCTATGACAGGCTCGTGGTGCCCCTGATAGACCAGTGGTGCCCTTGCTAGGCCTGTAGTGCCCCTGGCAGGCCTCTGGTGCCCCTGCTACCCCTGCGCCCTGAGAGGACTATGGTGCCCCTGAAAAGCCTGAAGTGCCTCTCGACAGGCCCGTGGTGCCCCTGGGCCCTGACAGGCCCAAGTTACCCCTGCGAGGTCGGTGGTGCTCCTGGCAGGCCTCTGGTGCCCCTGGCAGGTCTGTGGTGCCCCTGGCAGGCCTGTGTTGACTGGTGCCCCTGCTAGGCCGCTGGTGCCCCTCACAGGCCTGCGGTGCCCCTGGAAGGACTGTGGTGCCCCTGCCCCTAGGGGTGCTCATGGGCCCAACAGGCCCGTTGTGCCCCTGACAGGCCTGTCGTGTATACTTGCTAGACCTGTGGTGCCCCTGCTTCCTGGCAGGCCTGTGGTGCCCCTGGCGGGCCTGTGGCGCCCCTACAAGGCCGTAGGTGCCCCTGACAGGTTTGTGGTGTCCCTGGAAGGACTTTGGTGCCCCTGACAAGCCTGAAGTGTCAAGGACAGACCCTTTAGACGCCAGGGTCAAGTTCGTCGGACTGACAACGATTTGCTTACCTGATAACGTTCCTGGTAAGTACTCATTACTCAGCGTCCACAACATATATACACATAGCACATTCATATATACTTGCTTACAATTGGTAAATGTGGTTGTGGCTAAGAGGTAAGATACTGACTAAAAATAAAAAATAAAAATAAAAAAGTGAAAATGGGGGCACCACCAAAATGAAGTGGACGAAATCCGTTGAGTTTTTAATTTTGGGTATAGGTAGGGGCACCACTTCGATTCATGACCCTCCCCTTGGAGTTTTCCTGGATCCGCCCCTGGCGCCATCGCTGACTGGTGTTTCCGCGTGCTCTGAGGAGCCAGTGTCTCCGTCCACCAGTGTTTTTGTGCGCTCCGGGGGTACGGCGGTCGACGCAAATGGGGCGGCACTCGCTTTTAAAAACGAGTTACGCCTTGAGTGCCACCCTACCGACTACCGAGGCAGCGGCGCTGGAAGAGACGTGCCGCCCGTACCTACTATACTCTGTTTCGTTTTGAAACGAAATTCAATTCGAACAAGTTTGCAGCCGAAGTGCCCTGCTGAAAGCAGTGCGTGATTTCTGTATATACAGCTCTTACATTTTAAGAAGCAAATTCTTAGCGGAGGAGCGATTTGCCGAAGAAATTCCAACTGCAAGCTTGATATGGAACAGACTATAGTCGTTTTTTTTTTTGCGCTGCCCCAATGACAGGCGACGTGCTTGCTAGTACTTTTTGTACACCAGAACCGTGAATACATGTGTTTTGTTGACAAGTAATCAGTATCTGCTGGATGATGAGAGCACTGAGGTTAGAGAGCGGGATACTATCGGGTGTGTGTCGGCGGACATCGGGCTAACATCGGCATCATGTCGGGCCACCACTGTAGAAAGAGATTGGGATGGCATCGGGTGGGTGTCTGAGGACATCGGGCTTGTGTCGGCATCACGTCGGGCCACTGAGGTTAGAGAGCGGGATACTATCGGGTGGGTGTCGGCAGACATCGGGCTTGTGTCGGCATCATGTCGGGCCACCACTGTAGAAAGAGAGTGGGATGGCATCGGGTGGGTGTCGGCGGTCATAGGGCAGGCATTGGTATGACGTCGGGCGGCTGTCGGGCGGCTGTCGGCAAGAGGAGGCAACGAAGAGGGCGGATATCGGCGAACATCGGCTAGATTTCGGTGTGTTATCGGGCGGCTGTCGGCAAAGGGCGGGAGAATGTCGGCCCAGGTCATTTGCCCACGTCGGCCCGACCTCGGCCCACTGGCGGTTGCATGTCGGTCGGATTTCGTACTAGGCGGACATAGCCACTCACCAGCCGAGGATCGGGCCGACGGTGGACCGACAGCGGACCGAGTCCCAGACGACGTCGGTTCGCTGTCGGGCCGACATCGGCATGTTCACTGGGTTTGTAGTCGTGTATAGTGACTTCTGGAGGAGTAATGAACATTATATTTAAAAGATCATTTTTTATGTATCTACACATTTCATGGTGATAACAAGAACTTTTTCGATACCCGCTCGTAAAACTTGTGAAGAGTGCCTAGAAGCATGCAGAAATGACTTCACAACATTGCAAAATGTAAAAACACATGCAAAAGGCACAGCCATCTGAGGCTAATCACCGATTTTCGGTTTCTGTGACAGTATGATGGACACCTTAAACATCAGGTGTGCGACAGCACCAAACGCGAGTCACGTGGGGCCGTTCAGTGGCGCGCGCAGGCGCCGCCGCCAGTGCTGCTCCAACAGGACGGCGCGCAGCACGCACAGCACTGACATTGCGCTCGACAACACCATCGAGTAGAACACGGCCGGCCAGCCCAGGTGAAGCGCCACCGCGCCCAGCAGCGGGCCCTCCAGGAACGTGCCCACGCTGCCGAACCCGTTGACGGCACCACTGGCAGCCTGCGCCGCGCGCCGCTCGTCACGCTGCCCCAGCTCGGTGGGTATGGCGGCGGCGAGGAGTGTATTCGGCCCGCCGCCGAACATGCCGGCCATTAGCAGAAACAGGCCGTTGGCGGGAGCGCCCCAGCCGCTGGTCAGCGAGAACAGCAGCAGCGAGAGTGTTGAAGCCACGACGCTCAGCAGACAGCCGGTGAGCGCCCGGCCCGCGAACACACGATCTACAGCCACCCCGATGACGGCTGAGCCCAACACTGCTCCCACGTCGAATGCCTGTGTCAGCAGCCCGGCCGCCTGACGACCGTAGTGTAGTTGCTGCGACAGAAACATTGGCAACCACATATAGACGCCATAGCGTACCAGCTTCAAGAACAGGAGGCCTGCGGCTACCTCGGGGATGACAGGAATTTGCCAGACGTCGCGCCATGTCAGTCTCTGGGCAGCGTCAGGAATTGACGACTTGGTCACTGCCGACTCCTTCTCGTGCACGGCGACACCGAGCTCCTCAGGCGAGTACAGCACAAGCAGCACTAGCAAGCCAAAACACATACACAGCAGTGAAGGGATCAGGTGCACTAGACGCCATCCGTAGGCACCCTGCAGGTAAACTGCCAGCACAGTGCCTACAATTCCGCCAGTGAACGCCGAAGTGCCGAACAGACCAAACACCGAGTTGCGCCGATTGTCTGGGAACCATTCGGCCAGTGATCGCGCACAGGCTGGCCAGCAGCACGACTGCGCGGCGCCGTTCAGCGCCAGCATCATGGCCATGGCGCCGGGACCGCCGACCAAGCCAAACGGCAGCATGGCGCCGCCGGCGGCCAACAGTCCGAGGCCGAGCGTGCGCCGCGCTCCGAGCCGCTGGCCGGCCGGCGCCAGCGCCATTTGCGCCAGAGCGTAGGGCGCCAGCAGAGCGGCGTCCATCCATCCCAGCTGCGCCTCGTTCAGGCCCGCCTGGTCGCGTAGGTCCGCCTTGATGATGCCTAAAGGCATGCGCAGGAAGTAGGTGAGCGCGTATCCGGTCCAGGTTATACAGAATGTGGCCAACTGGCGTACCTGCCAACCAAACGCACTTTGTTAATTTCAGAGCAAACGAGCTACGACACTCATCAACTCACGACGCTGACGATGTCTCTCCTTGACAGCAGTGTCTGTCCCTGACGGTAACTCCCTGACAGTAGCGTCTCTCCCAGTCGGTGTCTGTCCTTGACGGTAAGATGATCTGTCCCTGTCGGTAAGACTGTTCTTGACAGCAAGAGCGTATGTTCCTGACATAAATTGTCTGCCCCTGACAGCAAGAGCGTCTGTATCGGACAGTAAGAGCGTGTTACTAGCGGTAAGCGTCTACCCCTGATATAGTAACAGTTTTTGTCCCTGCACGGCAGTGGCGGATCCAAGGGGGGGTCACATGGGTCATGCCCCCCCTTGAGGCCCGGGGGCCCAAAGACCTGCCAGGGGCACCACCGGCCTATCAGGGGTATCACAGTCCTGACAGGGGCACCACAGGACCGCCAGGGGCACCACAGGCCTAGCAGGGACACCACGGGCCTGGTGCCCCTGGGCCCTGACAGGACTGTAACGCCCCTGACAAGCCTGAAGTGTCCCCGGCAGGCACGTGGTGCCCCTGACAGGCCTGAGGCGCCCCTGCAAGGCCGGTGGTGCCCCTGGCAGGCCTGTGGTGTCCATGGCAGGCCTGTGGTGCCCTTGCTAGGTCTCTGGTGCCCCTGACAGGCTTGTAATGCCCCTGGAAGGACTGTGGTGCCCCTGGGCCCTGACAAGCCTGAGGTGCCCCTGACAGGCCAGTGGTGCCCTTGCTAGGCCTGTGGTGCCCCTGGCAGGCCTCTGGTGCCCCTGACAGTCTTGCGGTGCCCTTGGAAGGACTGTGGTGTCCCTGGGCCCTGACAAGCCTGAGGTGCCCCTGACAGGCCCGTGGTGCCCTTGTTAGGCCTGTGGTGCCCCTGGCAGGCCTCTGGTGCCCTTGCTAGGCCGCTGGTGCCCCTGGCAGGCCTCTGGTGCCCTTGCTAGGCCGCTGGTACCCCTGCGCCCGGAGAGGACTGGTGCCCCTGAAAAGTCTGAAGTGCCCCTCGGCAGGCCCGTGGTGCCCCTGACAGGCCCAAGGTGCCCCTGCGAGGCCGGTGGTGCCCCTGGCAGACCTCTGGTGCCCCTGGCAGGTCTGTGGTGCCCCTGGCAGGTCTGTGGCGCCCCTGACAGACCTGTGTTGACTGGTGCCCCTGCTAGGTCGCTGGTGCCCCTCACAGACCTGTGGTGCCCCTGGGCCTTGACAAGCCTGAGATGCCTGGCTATGACAGGCTCGTGGTGCCCCTAATAGACCAGTGGTGCCCTTGCTAGGCCTGTAGTGCCACTGGCAGGCCTCTGGTGCCCCTGCTACCCCTGCGCCCGGAGAGGACTATGGTGCCCCCGAAAAGCCTGAAGTGCCTCTCGACAGGCCCGTGGTGCCCCTGGGCCCTGACAGGCCCAAGTTACCCCTGCGAGGTCGGTTGTGCTCCTGGCAGGCCTCTGGTGCCCCTGGCAGGTCTGTGGTGCCCCTGGCAGGCCTGTGTTGACTGGTGCCCCTGCTAGGCCGCTGGTGCCCCTCACAGACCTGCGGTGCCCCTGGAAGGACTGTGGTGCCCCTGCCCCCAGGGGTGCTCATGGGCCCAACAGGCCCGTTGTGCCCCTGACAGGCCTGTCGTGATTACTTGCTAGACCTGCGGTGCTCCTGCTTCCTGGCAGGCCTGTGGTGCCCCTGACGGGCCTGTGGCGCCCCTACAAGGCCGTAGGTGCCCCTGACAGGTTTGTGGTGTCCCTGGAAGGACTTTGGTGCCCCTGACAAGCCTGAAGTGTCAAGGACAGACCCTTTAGACGCCAGGGTCAAGTTCGTCGGACTGACAACGATTTGCTTACCTGATAACGTTCCTGGTAAGTACTCACTACTCAGCGTCCACAACATATATACACATAGCACATTCATATATACTTGCTTACAATTGGTAAATGTGGTTGTGGCTAAGAGTTAAGATACTGACTAAAAATAAAAAAATAAAAAGAAGAAAAAAACTGAAAATGGGGGCACCACCAAAATGACGTGGACGAAATCCGTTGAGTTTTTAATTTTGGGTATAGGTAGGGGCACCACTTCGATTCATGACCCTCCCCTTGGAGTTTTCCTGGATCCGCCCCTGCTGCACGGTTCGTCGGAATGTCATGGGATCTACAAAAGAAACGAAACGCACCATTTACAAGCTGACGGTAAGCTGATGATGCGATTTCTATCGATATCGTTGGTTGGCCTTTTTCAAAAATTGCAGTTTTGTAAAAAAAAAAGTTTTTTTTTTAACCGGCTGTCCCAGGCATTCCTGAAATCACAAGTAGGTATATTTTTTCGAGTTCCTTTGAAGGCTTGCTTTCAAAAGAACGATATTTAACGAAAAAGAAAAATATTCCCAAGCATTCATATGCGTCTCCCATAGCCGTCAATAAGGCGCAATCACACCGCTCAGTCTCACGATGGACCAAAGTCAAATATTCTCAGAGACCTAAAATGACCCCTATCGACTGGCAGCGCGGCGTTCTCGGCCTCCCTGACCCGGCGTTCTCGGCTTCCCTGACTGGCCACGCAACAGACGTCCGGCTTCTGTTCCAATGATACCATATTTGTAAACCTAGCCCGGCAGTTGCTGGGGTATTTCGCCACGCACCACTTGCTGGGGGGGGGGGGAAGGGGGTGTTAAACGCCCTCAGCCGATTAGTCCAGAACCACTAGAAAAGGGCGAGGCGGCAAACAAAAGAACGCGACGAGACGCTTCTGATGAGTAGGTACTCTCATTTTCCCTGACTCCAAAATCTCATCGGATCTGTATCGATCTCAGGGGTGCCCGGTCCGAGGTTGCGGGGGGGGGGGGTAAGCTGCCCCGCTTGCCGCCCCCCCCCTTGGCGATGCTAATGTAGAAACATGTAAAACTCGAAAAAGTGAACCGAGGTTACCAAAAGTCAATGACCTGACCTGACCTTCAGGTGACCTTGACATCCACCCTATTGCATGGGAGCAACACCAAATCACATGTTTGAACGTTTGAAACCACGAAAAGCTTGCAAACGCGCGGCTGATGCGAGCCGACATACGCCGAATCGCGATTCCGGCTAAACATGGTCTCGAGAAATAGGTCACAGGGCAAAGGTCACTTGGGTCAGGGTCATGAAATATTCAGTGTAGGTGTAAAATTCATTAACTCGAATGTACTGAAAGTTTCGTCTTGATTGGCCACTTTTTACGCGAGTTATTCGCGAAAAAAAACGAGGGTGGTCCGTTCGACCCCCTATAGTTAAGTCCGAGGGTTTAGGTCTTGAGTCGTTAGAGTCTGGTTAGAGTCCCTCAGATCACGAACTTGGTCAAAGGAGGTCGATTGTCTAACTAACTTTGTTCCGGAGTTATTGACGGAAAATTAATATGGCCCTAGTGACGTCATAAATGACGTCATGCAAGGTCAGCAATGCAAAGGTGTAGCACCGTACCTTGCAGGGAGCGCATGAAACCATGATTCCATGTGCTTGAGATAGTTTAGATCATTCCTGGCGCTAAAATAGCAGTTTCCATATTTCCCTCATTGACTTATAAGGGTGAGATCACGTGACCGACCTGGCCGCATGTGAACTTAACCCTCGCCCGCACATGCCATTTTCCCATCCTAGAACGCATGTGGGGGGGGGGGGGGGTGGTTGCCACCCCCCGCGCCATTTCGTACCTGTTGGAGATAGAGCTTAGCGGTAAAGACCAAAAAGATTCTTTGGGAAGAGACGAATCCAATGATACCCAGTTTTACCTTCTCAGGTCAGTCATTGACCTTCCAGGTCAGGTCAAACTAAAAAATGTTGCTGTTTTGGGTCACCGTTGGATATCAAGTGCGCTGCTTATCATATACCGATGACGATGCTGTTTTCTGGTGCCAAGCCAGCTAGAACCTCTTTGTCACACTACCCGACCAGATTTTTGCCGCTGAGGTCATTTCAGGTCAAGTTAGGTCAAGGTCAATTATATGTGTTTGTATGTCTGTGTGTGTCTGTGTGTATACTGATGTGTGCACCGATTGTTTTTGTGTCCATATTACATGAAATCATGATCTGAGAAGCTTTTACCAAAAATGCAGTCAAAAAACTTCACAAAAAGTAAATTCAGCTTGCCTAAAACGCAATTATCTTAGATGAACTAGGTTGACCCTGACCCTGACCTTTGACACCTGTACATCGTCGAACAACATGTTCCACGATAGGTGGGAGGTAAGACTGGCAAAAAAGGCCGAAATCAAGGTGTCAAAAGCTCACAAGGCCCATGGCAAACGCAAGATGCTGAGATTTGGCCATTTGGGTCATGACATAACCTGAAAAACAAGATCATATCTCCAAAACCAAAAATCACAGAAACTTGAAATTTTCAGTGGACATCAAGAAAGGATAGAGGAGCAGCTATACGAAAAATCAGCCTTCTAGCTCTAAAAATGTTGAGTGCAGAGCAGAAAGACTACCTGGGGGGGGGGGGTGGCAACCCCCCCCCCCCATGTGCGGGCGAGGGTTAACACGCGCAGTGGAAGGGGGGGGCGGATTTCGCCCACCCCTCCTGTTTTTCGCCAATAACTCGCGCCGCAAGCATAATATCAATGTGAAATTTCGGCTACCTGTCCAGAATTGAATTGCGGATCTTCTCGTGCAAAAAGTAAGAAAATCGGTTCACAACTTTTCTAGTAATAGCGGTGTAAAGTCAAACATCCTGCCGCCGCGGCGGCGCGGCGGAGCGGCGGCCGGCGCTAGCCGTTACGCGCCGCCTGAATTGTAGACTGTGCCGGGGCGGGACGGTTCCGTCTTTACATCGCGCTCCTTACCGCTGATTATATTAGATTCGCATCAAATTCGGTGAGAAGACTGAGAAATGTACAGGCAATCATATGGTTAAAGAATTTTGAAAATCGGCCGGTAACAACTTGAGTTATGAGCAGTGGCGGCGCCACGAATTTTCGCCAGTGGGGGCAAGCTTGAGACTGACCCGACTGTTGTCTGATAACGCC